ATATCCAGATGCCATGACTGAATCAGGTAGTTTGAGTTAGCTGTCTTTGTACATTTTTAACTTTTATAAGTGTAAACTTCTTTTTTTTTAATCCTCACCCGAGGACATTTTTCCATTTTTGGTTCAGGTAGAGTGGGAGAGAGAGAGGAACAGAGAGAGAAACATCGACGTGAAAGGGACACATCAAGTGGCTGCTACCCGCACGACCAACCAGGGCCGGGGACAAACTGCAACCGAGGTACATGCCCTTAGCAGGGACCGAACCCGGGTCTCTCTGGACCACAGACCAACACTCTAACCGCTGAGCCAAACCAGCCAGGGCAAGTGTAAACTTCTTAAAGACAGTATGTAATAGGCACTCAATATTCATTGAACAAATAAATGGACAAACATCCAATGATGCTACAGGAAAGGACAGATAAGTGGCAGATTTGTGAGTGCAAAGTGAGGTACACATTTATAAGAAGCAATCCAACAATGTTTACATAATAGATACATTTAAAAATTTAATAGTGACAAAAACACACCATTTAGGTAACACACATGCACACATGCATAAATTACATAAGCAAATGCAGAGAAAAATGTGGGGTACGATTAGCTGCACTCTAAGCTTTATGTTTTATGATGAACTTTGAATTGTCAATTATTATATATCATTGCCTGAAAGCACTAGACCAATATGATATTAAAATCTCAATACCAGCCAAATTGCTTAGCATTAAGAATATAAAAACAGAAAGCTTCATTTTACTCTTGTATCAAAGCAAAGTGTTGTACCCTTGAAAGATAACGCAGAGCTAGAATAATTCTATAAAAGGAGTATTAGGAGAATCCAGATAAAATATGGAGTTCTGAATGAGAAAAAAAAATCACACTCATTTGTTTGGAAAAGAAAATGTTAATGAAGAAGTATACGACATTCTGAAGTATTCCTTTTGATGCAAGGAATATTGTGAACATGGCTAAAATGTTATGGATTTTTAATTTTTAGATTTTTAATTATTTTTTTATCCTCATCCGAGGACACTTTTTAACTTTTATTCAGCTAGAGTGGGAGGGAGAGAGAGAAAGAAACATTGATGTGAAAGGGACACATAGACTGGTTGCCTCCCCCATGACCCCAGCCAGGGCCAGGATGAATCAAAACTGAGGTTCGTGCCCTTGACCGGAATCAAACCCACGACTCATTGGTCTGCCAGGTGATGCTCTAACAGCTGAGCCAAACTGGCCAGGGCTGGATTTTTTTTTAACCAAGTATACCAACTAATATGTGCAATAGACACTGTTACTCCTCCTACTTCTCTAACTTGTACCTACTTCATCTTTTAATTCGGAGACAGAGGGAAGGATGAGGTAATAAGAGGAATATGAGGGCCAAGACATATGTAGCATACTTGCTAATTTTTTTTTTTTTAAAGTGTTTTTAAGTAGCTATTCCATGTCAAAACAGCTACAGGAAAACGTTCTGTTCTATTTATTTATTTAAAAAATTATTTCTATTAAAGAAAAAGAAAAAATATATCCTGTTTTAAAGATGAATGGTGGTGATAAACCACAGCAGAGTGGAGGCAAGCAGAGGCAGCAGGTGTGAGTGTGTGTGTGTGTGTGAGAGAGAGAGCGCGCACACGAGCGCACACTAAGGAAGCAATATTAGTAGAATTGAACCATACGGTTTGGGTGAGTCTTGGAAAGTAGTCTAGCCTTCACAGTTGTATATCTGTGCTATTTCTTGCATCCATCCTCTCCTCTCATTTTATTAATAAAGGCCTCACTTTCAGTCTCCTGTTATGCTGTGATAGTGGTTTATCTATACTCCTCAGTATAGTCACCTCCTGTTCTTAACCTATGTCAAGACAACCGTTTTTACCAGTTGTGCATAAATAATAATTTAAGAAGTCAAACATGTTTAAATAGTTAAACGTGTGTCTATCTGTAATTATAATTTTCTTCCTTGTATTTCCATATGCTTAATTGAATGGAAATGACTGCAGAAAAAGCTAGGGCCTAGGAATTGCATATATCCTTGCATATATGTTCATCTATCATTTATATGGCAAAGGAAAAATGGCTAAGAAGCACAGCCTTCTGGAAGTAAGTCCAAATTCCATAACATCGTAAATGTAAAATGGGCTCTTCCACAGTGGGCTAGTCATCATTGCCAAAACATACCATACCCTTTCATACCTCTGAAACTTTTAATACCCTAGTTCTACCTTCCCCATCACTGACTACAAACATTATTTTAAGATACACTCGAATACCCCCTATTCCATAAAGCTCCCACACCTCCCCAGGCACAGCCAACACCTCCATCATACTTTTTGGTTATACTGTAGTACAATTATTTCTATGTCCACTGCTCTCTCCCATCACTATAAACTCCAGCACTTTAAAAAAGGTTTTGCAGCCCTGGCCAGTTTGGCTCAGTAGTTGGAGTGTCAGCCAGTGGACTGAAGGGTCACAGGCTCGATTCCCAGTAAAGGGCATGTAACTGGGCAGTGGGTTCAATTCTTGGCCCTGGTTGAGGTCGTGCAGGAGGCAGCCAATTGACATTTCTCTCTCTCTCTCCCTCCCTTCCACTCTATCTAAAATCAGTGATTTGTTAATCAGGCAATTAACAAAATAAATAAATAAATAAAAAATAAAAAGGGTCCTGCACTTTCTTCAAACAATTTCTGGTCTCAGAACGAGTTGCCTGGCTGACAGCCTTCCATCAATGGTAGTTTGAATGGAGACAGAAGAAAACAGCAACAAAACATCTGTTTTTAAGGGTCATAAGGAACTCTTCTGTTACTAAAAGATAAAACATTCATTTAAGTGACTCCATGAATATCTATTTTAAAAGGCCTTCAAGTGTTATTAGTAGCACTTTTCTGTATCAGATATCTGTTGTTCAAGTTCTCTCTTAATAGACAATTTTTACAAAATTCTGCAAAAAAATCGATGCCTAAATAGTCAAAATATGAATTTCATACTACTTACTAAGGGCGCTCTCCGAACAGCACTATAATCCAATTAAGGAAAGGTGTTTAAACTGCACATTCCAAATGTGTCTATCTTGAAACTGATTTAATGATTGGATAGGAGTATTCTTTCCTGTTTTCTCTTTTTTCAATTCAAATAATCTGTTCATATATTTTTCCTGTCTAGATATCTATCTATCTATTGTTAACCCTTACCCGAGGATATTTTCCACTGATTTTTAGAGAGAGTGGAAGGGAGGCAGGGAGAGAGATAAACATCTTTGTGAGAGAGATACATTGATTGGTTGCCTCCCGGACAACCTTGACTTGGGCTCAAACCTGCAACCCAGGTATGTGCTCATGACCAGGAATCGAACCTGCGGAACAAAGGGTCATAGGCCAAGGCTCTAAATACTAAGCCAAATGGATCAGGACAGTACTGGGTCTATTTAGATAGCTAGTAGATTTTCTGCTCTAACTCTGGCCTTCTAGTGAAGAAAATTCAACCTGTTTTAAACATTCCAGACTTGTTCCAAGAAAATCCATCATGAAACAACTAAAATCTACAGAAGATAGCACTTAACTGGCTTGTCAATAGTAAGGTCTTGCATTTGACTGCATTTGATGGTTCTTAACTAGATTATAATTTGTTTCCCATAAATACAGCCCAGCTTTTGCTTTCATGCTTTGAGGTTTGGCTCTGGCCACTTCTGAACAGGGTTCAAATACTACAGAACTTTTAAGGTAGATCTACTGCTCTGAAAATCTTTCCACATAGAACCTATTTAATCATTCTTCCTCTTGGAAAAGATATTCTTAATTGACACTTATCAGTCAATATAAGAGAAAGCAAAACTGCTAATCTCTCATAGAAGACTGGCAAATGACCACCACTGGAATGACAAGTGCGTGACATTGGGCAAGAACTGTGAAGGTTGTTTTTTGCTGGACTACCTTTCCTGAACTTTCTAGTTTTGTTATTGGGTCTAAATTATAAGATGAGGAACATCTACTACCAAAGATTGAGTAAAACTAACTTTACTAAAAATAATGGACCTATACATAGTTATTGATTTTATATTCTTTGCTATGGTAACTCAAAAGATACATAACTCCTTAAATGTAGGTTTGTTCTCCAATACCACACTAGTGTAGAAACTCCTATACCAGTGTCTTTTTTCTTTTTTTATCCTCACCCGAGGACATTTTTGCATTTTCAGATAGAGTGGAATGGAGAGAGGAAAGAGGAGGAGGAGGAGGAGGAGGAGGAGGAGGAGGACGACGACGACGACGACGACGACGACGACGACAGAGAGAGAGAAACACTGATGTGAGAGAGACACATCAACTGGTTGCCACCCGCACGACCCCAGTTGGGGCCAGGGACGAAATGCAACCTAGGTACGTGCTCTTAGCGGACACTGAACCCAGAACACTCTGGTCCACAGACAACACTCTGACCGCTGAGCCAAACTGGCCAGGGCTATACCAGCGTCTTTTGCCTCAATATGTACAGTGTTTGGACAGCTGAAGGTAAATATCATCTTCATGTTCAGAATATGGCACTAGCTTCTCATGATAAAATTTGTGGGAAAATATGAGGTACCTGCCTTACATTTAGCGATTGACGTCCCTGAATTCTTATACTTTGTTGATGGGAAATGAGCTGAATAAAAAAATGCTACAGCCCTGGTTGGTTTGGCTCAGTGGTTGGCGAGTCTGCCCAAGGACCAAACAGTTGTGGGTTTGTTTTATTCCAGTCAAGGGCACATACCTCAGTTGTGGTTCGGTCACCCACCCTGGTCTGGGTCGTGTGGGAGGTGGCCAATCGATGAGTCTCTCTCACATCAATGTCTCTCTCTCTCTCTCTCTCTCCCCCTCCCTCCCTCCCAGTCTATCTGAAGATAAATGGAAAAAATATTCTTGGGTGAGGATTAAAAAAAAAAAATGCTACCTGGCACTTTGATTCTTGGTGAAACCTCCAACTATAACAGGTGACTTTAGGAAAGAGTATGGTAACTTGCCAAGACACACCCTTTTCATTTGTTGAGCTCATGCGCACTCATAGTTGTAAAACCTTTGGCCAGGCTTTGTATCTTCCAATACTTCCCAGGGTGAAATAGTCACATCTATGAAACACATGGTTTAGGGAAATAATATTACCAAGTGAGATTATACCCAATCTCAAAAAGATCAAAAACCATTAAAATAAAGTAACAATAAGACTACTTTTCCATATCTGCTCACTTGAGAGGATGTCTATTGCAATAAGGTCCTATAGAATCACATGGCTCAGATTTCATCTTAGCCAGCAAAGAAAGGGTGTGTACTCTCACTACTAAGGAATGATACCCATATGTTTCTGGCAATTCAAACTATGTCACAAAGAATTTGCCAACTTGAACCAGACCTAGAGCTGGGACCTATTTACATGGGCTGGTAGCCTTTCATAGGACATTGAGCAGTTATAAAATTGTACAAGGTTTTGTAGTGAGGGAAAAAAAAGCCCACATATAGCAGTAATATTTATAAATATGTTATATAAGTTATGGCTTTAAAAGACTCATTTCAGGTGGTCTCACCTGGTTGCTAAACAAGTAGTGCACATTGGAAAAGAAAGTCTAAGAAGTGATAAGAGAGTTCCTACAGGTTCTAATTTAAGATAAAGTATTACCTAAGAAGACCCAGACTTCATATTTGATCTGTTTTCCAAATAATTCCCTAAAGAAAGGCCTTTTAGCTTATTTTACTATAATTCTATTTTAATTTTCCTTATTTTCTGTCACTTTCACTGAAAAATGACTTCTGTTTAAACTTTTATATACTCTTTAATAATAAATTATTTGGATAAATTTATGGTTTTATGCATATCTGCTTAGCAACTAACTATGGTTCTGGAAATTGAGTTTTATTAGCAAGACAGAAAGAATGTTTAGTAGAAAAAGCACTAATTTGTAAGCCAGGAGGCATATTGTAAAATGTTTACTTTTAAGAATGAGCTCAATGTATAATATAAAACAAAAGCGTCAGCCTAATTATTGGAGTCTGAGTAAAACACATGTTTTCTCTCAAATATGCCCTTTTCCTTTGGTTCAGTGAGGAGTGGGCCAAGATCTTAATGTTAACATATATGTAAAACATGAACAGGTGCTAACTGTCCCCTCCTTCAAACAATGTATGGAATTGTGGAGTTTAAATAACAGTAATTATACATATACAAATCACCATATGAAAAAAGGGCACAGAATAATTAATGTATTAATAATATCCATTGAGCAATTTGGAATATGTATAGTTCCGGACTGAAGTAGATAGTATTTTTTAAAAAGGTATGCTGAACTGCAGTCTGATATAGTATCCTTTAAATTCCAATTATCATACATTGGGCCCACAAATAAGCTACAGGAACCTGCTGTGGGATAAAGCAGCTCTGTTGACAGATCTCTACAAAAGCATGGTTTGGGTCAATTTCTAGGTACATTCCTCAGAAACTGCATCAAAGAGCAGCAGAGCAAGTGAGCACAAAGAACAGGAAGATGGCAGTGTGTTCTGGACACTCCATTGGAAACACTCTGATCAGTGTCACTCATGAACACAAAGTACACACAACTACGCACACACAGTAATAAATTCACATACATCCTTAGGCAGTCCCAATTAGATAGGTGAAGAATTATATTTGGGGATTATTTTGAATAAACTGAATCCCTTAGCTATACATTTTCAATAAAGGGCAAATTGAACAATAGTTAAATGCAATTTGCAAACTTAAAAAATTTATTGTAGTTCTTTAAAAATAAAAATATATTTTTCCTTGTTTCCTGTAATTCTTACAATTTGATGAACTAAAGTGCTATTCCTTAACTAAAGTTTCAAGCCCAGAGGCCAACAACATACAAAATAAAAAGCAACACCTCAGGTGATCCTGGAAACTTTGTTTTTGGGTATAACAGGGTCCTTTAAGATGCCCATGCCTGCTGAGACCTCCCTAGAAAAATGCAATAAACATATCTTGTTTCACAGGGTTTGTGAACTCCTTGAACACCATAAATAGACCACAAGTTGACTTATTTGGCTGGAAATACACTAATACTATTATTTCGAAAGTCTCTTCAGAAATTGACATTGATTGAGAACAAGGGTAGATGAGGAAGGAGAGTATCTGTGCTAGGCACAAGCCCACTCAGGATGATGTAGTCTTGGTATTACTACTATTTAATGGAGTAGAAAAACAAGGTTGGCAAACAGCAATATAAAGGATAAATTTAGTCCAGTGGGAAGACAGCAAATTCCTGCATATCCTAAAGCAGTGGTTCTCAACCTTCCTAACGCCAGGACCCTTTAACACAGTTCTTCATGTTGTGGTGACCCCCAACCATAAAATTATTTTCATTGCTACTTCATAACTGTAATTTTGCTACTGTTATGTCTTAGGCCACCCTGTGAAAGGGTCATTCGACTCTCAGGTTGAGAACCGCTGAAGAGAGGGAAGCTTCTATTCTGTTTCCAGAGGAACAGGAAGATCATCATTTAATCCCTGATTAGCCCTGAGGAAATCTGTCTTTAAATGTAGTTAAAATTAATAGACATTAGAACAGAACCTAAGCTCATATTTATTTAGGCTTTCAATAATACTAATGGCTAACTGCTACTAATATCAGTATTGCTAAAAAGAGGGAAATTTGATTATAAAAATGGAGCACAATACTCTTAATATTTCATCTTTATTTAAAATACCTAGAAGCGCCCTGACCAGTTTGGCTCAGCGGTTAGAGCGTTGGCCGGCAGATCGGAAAGTCCCGGGTTCGGTTCCGCTAAGGGCATGTACCTCGGTTGCAGTTTGTCCCTGGCCCTGGTTGGGGTCATGAGGATGTCAACCAGTCGATGTGTCTCTCTCTCACGTCGATGTTTCACTCTCTCTCTTTCTCGCTCTCTCCGAAGATAAATGCAAAAATGTTCTTGGGAGAGGATAAAAAAAATAAGTATAATAAAATAAAATACCCAGAAGCACTGTAATTAATGGCAAAAATTTTAAGTCACTTATTTTGTACCCCTAAAAATTGTTTATTTCTCATGTACATTATCACACAAAGATTATTCTAGATTGCTTTTAATTTACTTCTTCATACTACAAATTCTGTTAAATAATCATAGCATTTTAAAAAAATTGTTGCCACTGAATCATTGGTTAAAATTTCCCCTAATGTTTAGCAATAAGCTTCAACAATTTATACTGGCCCTGGTTGACTTTCGATTTTGATGCTATATATGAACACTTTGTGGTATGTTTTCAGAGAAAAACAAAACTAAATAAATTACTGGTAAGTCAATACACCTCTGACTCGTGTAGTTAGGAAGAAAAGAACTACACGTAGTCTCATGAAACCTAATTATCACATAGTTTTGCATTTCGGTTTAATTCCTATTTTATCGTTTTGCCAACGAGACTGCCAACTCTTTAAGTTTTACAGCTAGTCAAGAATTAATTCTTCATTAAATACAGAATTAATGTGTCTTTGGGGTTTAATTTTTTAAATTAAGAGTAAAATGCAATGTCAGAAGAGTCAATGCACCAAAAAACTGAAACAGAAAATCAAAATTCATGAAAACAATTCCTGTTTGTTTGCTCAGTAGTATATTTTTTATATTCACTAAACATCCCCTTGCCTTTCCCATAATTAAAAAGTTAATTAGTGGAATCAGATTTTTTGTGAATCTGTGTTTTTAAACAATGTCACTTAAATGCTGTTAATAATATTTTACAGCACTTCAAATAAAACTAAAATTGGTCTTAACATTAATGTAATGTTGTTTTGAACATAATTATATTTAGTTGTCTCTATTCTAAACAGAATTTTGCATTTAACTTGGTGTTATTCTGCTTACATATTAAAAATTAAAAATCCTATGGTCTGAATATTTCATTATAATCTTTTAAAGCTAGCAGTTAAGAAAAATCTAGTACTGGAGTATAATTTTCTTGAGGGTCAACTCAATTTCTCCTCCCTCACCTTTTGCCCAAGCTAGGCATTCAATACATACAGGGGTGGGCAAAAGTGGGCTTACAGTTGTAATACAAATAAATAATAAAATAATAATAAAAATAAATATTTCCTTTTTAGGCTCTCCTAGTTTTTAAAGTTAATAAATACTATAAAGTATTAAACTGTTATAATACTATAATGAACACCTTTAGTTTGGGGCCTACTTTTCAGTGATCAAAAGAGATGAAATAAATAACACACAAATGTAGCACCTTAAACCTATAACAATTTAAAAGAGTCAGGTTTAGGTAACTGACCTAAACAACTGATAAGATCAACTCCCAGTCAAAAGAAAAATTGGGAATGTCTTTCCAAATACTATAATTGACTAAAATTTAATTTTTTAGTTATTTAGTCTTATTAAAAAGTCTTTTTAAGTGGTAAATTATCTCTTTTTAAAAAATAAATTGCACTGGATTTATGTACAAAGCATAACCTCTAATATCTGTTGAAAAGAAACGAGCTTATCAGATGCTTTTGGGACAAATCATTCAGAAAGTCAGCCTCATAAAAAATAGTACAGCACTAACTAAACACAGTTAAGAGCAGCAAGTGGTGAAAATGTTCTTACCTTTCTTCTTAAGATCATCTTTAAAAAAACACAAATTTAAGTTCAATAGTCTTGTTCAACCAATTCTTTTAAACTTAAGAGTCACCTAAAATCCAAAAATTTTTCCAATGAATTGACATACCATTTTCTCAATTAAGTTTTTTCAGCTGTTGTAATCGTACACCTGACATGCTTGATTTGAAATTTGGTACCGTTTTCTTAACATTTACTTGAATGAGGGGATTCTAAACACCACAGTTTCTTGGTTAAATAATATTAAAACTGATAAAGATCAGAGATTCATAAAAAATAACAGAAACTTCTCATTGTGGAGTTTAGGGTTTGCAGTTACTATTGAAAACGCTTTGCATTTTTCACATCAAATGGCTTTGTCAACATTTCTCATCAGAACAGTAAATTATACAAATTAAGTTTCAACAGTTGTCACTGCTATTGGTAATTTTTATAGGAACAGTCTCCATTAATGTTTGAAAATTACTAAGTACATTTTATATCTTATCAAATTAAAGAATATCTATTGTAAAACTGTGGGACATCTCAACATTCTTTTCCAGGCTCCACCTGCTCTATGCTGCCCACTACAGGAAATGGATTGTTACAAAGAAATGTAATACTCAGCACTAGAGTTACTTTTAGTGCAATCCCATAAAAAATATTCAATGGGTACCTGAGTGGTAAAATAAGGTCTTCTTGTAAGAGACACAGACTGATTAGTGGTACCAAATTTATTAAATATAAAGAACATCAGTAGAAACAGACTTGGCCAGAAACAGTATCTTGGTAATCCACACACAAGGAGTAGCAACTAGGGTGCGGCAGAGGATGGGGCATGGAACTTAGGGATTTGTGGCGCAGCCTGCAGAAAAATACAGTTCTACACTAGAGAGAAAATATGAGGGTCAAAATCCACAAAGACAAAACACCTCAAAAAAAAAGTCGTATAAAAATACAAATGATTGCTTCAACTGGGAAAAAAACAATGGAAGTAAATTATTCCTGTAATTCATATTTAAGTTTCAGCAGATGAATCTCCTTTTTCTTTAAACCATTTCATACATTACTCTTACATGCAAATTCCATTAATATTAAGCTTACTTTTGCCTTACATTTTTCTAGTCCTCGGGAAGTTGAACCACACAGTAATGTGATAAACATCAGGGTTTTTTTTTTCTTTGACTAGAGCATATCCAAAGTGTTATGAATTTAAATTCTATCCTTCAGACATACTTTAGGAATCCATTTTGTAGATGGCAGCTCCTTCTGCAGAAAAGGAATTTTGTTTCAGAGTCAATTCTCCAGTTACCTATCACATCTTAATTTTTAAGAAAGGAGTTAAAGCGTTAGTGTCACACTCCAGGTCTTAAGCCTTGATACTAGTACTGAAAAGGAAAACACAGTACTGTACATGCATGTGTGTATACACACGGAAATACACTAATAGCCAGCAGTCAGTGCCTTAAATGTGGCAACCTCTCCTTTAAAAATAAAAACATAAAATGTCACCTTCCATTCTGCCCTACGAATGAAAAATAAGATAAATCAGGTATGCCCACTGCAGAGTGGAATACTAGGAAAGATGTTCTAACATCCAACCTGAGACAGTAACACACAATCCCAGGTCCCGAATAGGACGACTTAAATTTCAGTGTACGAGCGAGCCTTCGTTCCCACTTCTGCCCGATCAACACCATCCCGGGCCGGGTCCGCGCCGCGACCACCCAGGACTCCTGGGCAGCGGGATCCGCGAGTCCGCCGCTCCGGGCAACACGACTCCCCGGCTCCCGGAACAGGGATCTCCGGGGCTCCAAAGCCCACGATTCAGACGAGAGGTGCCGACAGGTGAACTCTAGCATTTAAAAACTACCGAAAAGTCTCAGTGCCCAAGTGGCGCGGCAGAGAACGCCGGGGCCACTCGGCGTCGCCCAGGCCCCGTCCGGGTCCCCGTCCCCTCGGACAGGGCCGGCGGCCCAGGACCTCCGCGGCATCGCGCTCAGCTCCCGGGAGCGTGGAAGAGTAACCAAAGCCACCAAAAAGACGCCGCGGCAAGTCCTCGAAGAAGTCAGCCGCAGCCTTTCCTTCTCCTTTTAGTTACAATTACCCCGAGGCTTCTGGCGTTTCCTTCGAGAAAATGGGAAAAAAGAGCGTGGGGGTGCTGGAAGTCGCTGACATTGTCCGTCGAACGAGATCCCCTCGACTCCATCCCTTAAGCAGGCTTCCCAAACTCCGAGGCATCCTCAGCGGAGGTTTTCCATGTTGACAGATCTCTCGCCTCCCACAAAATGGGGCCGAGGAGGCGTCCGCTGTCTCCTCTATGGGGGCCGCCATTTTGTGAGGCGGCGGCGGCGCCGCGCGGCGGCAGAAGCCCGGGGTGTGTGTAATGGTTGAATAGAATGACCCCCTCTAGGGAATCCCCGGCGCTGACAGTTACGTAAGGGGCTGTGCGCAAGTGCGGCATTCAGGGAATCCGCACAGCCAGGCCACGCAGCTCTGCGGCCCACATCTCCACTACCCCTAGGAGGACCGGTTAGGGAAGGGACGGACGTACAGTCTCGCTCCTACCCCGCCCCCCTCGCCTCCGGCCCGGGCCTGCAGTCTCCACTCCCCCGCCTGGGTCTCCGCCCCTCACAGCCTTCCGAGACATTCACTGGCCCCTGGGTGGCAGGAACCTCCTAGCCACTGCCTTATTCCGACCCCACTTGAGAGACTAACTTTACTTGGGAAATAAATCCGTTTCCTAGAGTGAGCACCGGAAGCATGCTGGACAATATTACATAATTTCTTTCACCACCAAATAAATGTTCCCATTAGAACCACTACCTGAAATAACCCACCCAGACATTTACTAGCCTGTGACCTTGGTTTAGTCAGTGACTTTGCCCGTAGTGGCCATCACTAAAATGGGAATATTGATGTGCTTCTCATATTGAAGCTTAATTAACATTTGTAGCTAAGGGTAGAGTCCGACACTCCTTGTAAATGCAAGCTAACCTAGTAGTATTTGTTGAGATGTTGGGTCTTAAATGTCAGCCCCCCCCCCTTTTTTTACCTTCAAAAATATTTAAACGGGGATTGCATTTAAGACATTTGAGAGAAAGCAAGGGGGAAAAAAAAGGTTTTATTCAGTATTTATTTTAAGCGCATTTATCCTTATCTTAATATAAAAATATGCACGTTAATTATTGTCAAAGTTCAAAAGATTGCTTCCCAGCCAGTTTAATTACCGTTTGCACAACTCGGCATAGCATAATCCAGTTTGATACGCGAAACCAACCAAAGGCAAGATGAATTAAGAGCATCCACAGAACTAGGACAGTTCACCCTGTATTTAATTTATAGTTTGCTAAAGTTAGTTTGTGGATAATTCCTGGCAAAGGTGCTAACCAGACCCCCAAAATACTACCACAAGGCTCAAAAAAGGCGATTCCTTTATGCAAAAAGAAAAAGAAAAAAAAGGAACTTGACTTTATTCCAATTTGTGAATGATGCGTAGCGCGAGGAGCTGCCCCTGAGCTTCGTTTTCCTCCCGAGCGCCACACGGGTTCAGTCGGGCGGGCGGGGGCCGCCCTGGCCGCCCTCCCAACAGCCGGGCCGGGGAAGCTAACATTGCCTCCACCCCTAACCCTGAAACAACCGGTAGTGGCCGTTTCCCCGCGCCGCCCCCCTTTCCGCCGGCTTTGTGTGCGTGTGAAATGTGCGGCACATTGCAGATGAACCCTAAACCCGGCGAGCCGAGTCTATTGTTCCCCGCGAGGAGCAGCCGGGGCGGTGTGGAGCCAGGCGCAGTGCCGCGGCCGGCCCTCGGGGGTCGCTGTGCGGCGCTACCTGCCCGGCCGTGGCGGCGGCGCTGGCGGCGGCAGAGAGGGAGGCTGCCGGGGAGGGAAGCGGGCGGGCGGCGCGGAGCGGCTCGGCTGCCGCCGGTGCCTTGTGCTCTATACGCCCCGGCCGACAGGGCCGAGGCCGCGCGTGAATGTGTGCGAGGGCCCCGCGGAGCTGCGGCCGGAATACACGCTGTCACCCCGCTTTCCACAAACCACCACACAGACCTCCCCCTCCCCACCCCCAGCCCCGCCTGCCCCAGCCCCGTCGCCGCCGCCGCCGCCGCCGCCGCCGCCGCGGCCGCCGAAACTCCCGGGCCTCCAGCCTCCCCGACCCCTCACCATCGGCTCGCCTTTCCCTCCGCTCGCTCGTTCGCTCGCGCGCCCCCGGCAGCAGCACCATGTTGAATCGCGTCCCCGGGCCGAGCCGCCAGAGCCGGCGGCACTGAGAGGCGGGCGAGAGCCGGGCCGCGGAGAGGGAGGGAAGGAAGGGGTGGGGGCCGCGCTCGCCCCGCGGCTTCGCGCGGATCCGGCAGTCGCCTGCCCCTCTAGTTTCGCTCCGATTTCTTTAAACTTTTTTAGAAATTCCCCTCCCTCCTTCCCTCCTGTCCCCCAGGCCTCCCGCTCCCTCCTTCCCCTCCTCCTCCTCCTCCTCCCCCTCCCTCCCTCCCTCCCTGCGCCGCCGCCGCCGCCGCCGCCGCCGCCGCCACCGCCGGCCCATGACTGAGCCCCGCCGCCGCCGGCCGAGGAATGGGCTCCGGGCTCTGGTAGGAAGCGCAGGGAGCGGGGGGCGCTTTTAAAACACCGATCTGGGTTTTTTTTAAACCTCCTTTGAAAAAATAATGGCAAACTCGACGGGGAAGGCGCCTCCGGACGAGCGGAGAAAGGGACTCGCTTTCCTGGACGAGCTGCGGCAGTTCCACCACAGCAGAGGGTGAGAGCAGAACCGGGGGGGCAGCGCCGGGGCGAGCCGGGGCGAACGGGGCTCTCCCGCCCGGCCCGGGCGCGGGGTCCCGGCTGACAAGTGCGGGGCTTTCTCTCTCCGGCAGGTCGCCTTTTAAAAAAATCCCTGCGGTGGGTGGGAAGGAGCTGGATCTTCACGGTCTCTACACCAGAGTCACTACTTTAGGCGGATTCGCGAAGGTGAGTGGAAGTTTTAATTTGTATTTCCCTCTCGCTGGCCTCCTCCAAAAAGTCTCCTTTGACCCCGGAGTGGGCGCTTGGGGCCGGGGGGGTGGCCCGCGGGGGCAAAAGGCGTTCTTTGCGCTCGCAGCCGGTGGCACGGAGGCGGACGGCGGCGGGGCTGTTTTTGGCCTGGTGGCTCGCGTGCGCGCGGCGGGCGCGGGGCTCGGGCGGGCGGGCGGCCCGGCGCCGGCTCGCGCCCTGCCCGCTGCCCGGCCGGCCCGGCGGGGTCTGAGCGCCGCGGCGGGGAGTGCGGGCGTGCGGGGCGCCCGCCGAAGCCCCGCGCCCGCCCCGTGCCCGCGCCCGCCCGCTCGCTCGCGAGTCAGCTCAGCCGCCGCTGCCGCTCTAGCACAGGCGGAGACACAGAGACACACAGACTCTGAGAGCAGTTTTCGTGCAACTCAAAATTAGCGCGGGCAGGTTTAACATCGATAATCCGCTGCGAAATGATCCCGGCAGCCGGGGGCACAGCCTCGGCCCCGTCGCCCTCGGTTTATACAGCTAACAAAAGAAACCAGGACCTGTCTCCAAATAGCCATCTTAGGCTTCAAGGCTAGGCAGAAGCTGTAGGCCTCAAAGAAGGGCCTATGGAGATGGATAGATCTGGGAGAGGGATCGGAATCGGCTCCGGCCCCGGCCCCCCCAGAACCTGCGGACGTCGCTGTCCGGAACAGTATTGATCCTTTTGAACTTTTTTTTTTTTTTTTTTTTTAGTGTAAACGGACCGCGTTGAGATTTAAAAGGGGGCGACAGAGGGACTTGCGATTGGTTATTGTCCGGGTTTCAAAAACAAAACAAACCCACCAGACCCCCTCTCCCGCCCCCGAAACAAAACAAGTGCTATTAAATACAGGGCTCTCGGGTGAAAACACAGTGATTCAAGCAGTCTTTGCTTAGTAACTCTCAAGGATCGATCCGCGACACCCATTGATGCCTGGGTATCTGCAGATCTCTGTAGAATGGGTATTTATTTCATAGTTAGGTTAGACTTTTCTTGGATTGTGCATTTTCAGACAAGCGTGGCTGTGTTTTTAACAGGTTTCTGAGAAGAATCAGTGGGGAGAAATTGTTGAAGAGTTCAACTTTCCCAGAAGTTGTTCTAACGCTGCCTTTGCTTTAAAACAGTATTACTTGCGGTGAGTAGTAGTGATTCTTACATAGTATTTGGATATAAGGGACTTAATGGGAAGATTTGTTTTTAGCAAAAAACAACAAACACACACACACACACACACACACACCAATCCTTGCACACCAGTTTCTAAACTTCTGTTAATTTCAGTCTGGGAAACATTAAATATCCACAAAGTGAGACTGTAGGATGGTGGAAGTTTTTCTCACTTATTTTAGGATTGTTCACATTTTTTTATACAGAATCATTACAGGTGACATCCCAGCCCCCCATTTTGATAAACATTCTTTTGTGACATTGTTATTGATTGCTTGATATCCCAAGAGGGGCAGAAAGGTGATGCTTAGTAAAAGAGTTAAGATAGTTAATGAAACTTTGTATCCCTTGGGAAAATTTTTTCTTTGTTTTGGAAACTTCTTTGTCTTTTTATGTTCTGACGTTTAGGTTTTTATAAAATGAAACCTCTTGTGTGGAGCTGTGTCACTGAGTAGTTTTTCAGTAGAATATTTCTTCATAGCATAACATGTTGATGCCTTAGGTGACCAGGATTGTTTTTAGAATATGTATATTTTAAAATTTTCAAGTCACTTAAAAACATTCAAGATGATTATTATGTATTTAGGAAAATTAGAGATACTATGAAAGGAAATACTATGATTTGGATTTTTCTTTCATTCTCCCTTTATTTTGACTCTTTATTTGACAAAGTAAATTTCTTATTCAGTTGGTATGTGATAAGTTTAGATTATATATTTTGTAACTCAGCTTTATTTTTTTTCTCCCAGTTCTTTTCCTAGGAATATTTTTACATTGTAATTTATTATGAACACATATTTTATTTTTAATGTTTACTTACCCATAGAATGTCCTTAGTTGGTGGTGGTTATTTAAAACTAAAGTACTGCTCTTCATACTTACTACTTTTTAATAATATTGTAGGATGGCCTTTTAAAGAATGTGGCTTCTGCATAATTTGAGTATGGCATTTATCATTACTTCAAATGTAATATCCCAGTGTGGATAGTCTGTGTTATGTTTAGCATTCTGAAATGGGAATGTAGTAATTGCACAGGTGTACTTCCTATTGGCTATCATAGATTGACTTCAGGCTTGAAACTGAACAATTCACAGTACTTTGTGGGTACTTACTGAGCTACACAGAAGTCTAGAAAATATTAAATATGGTTAGTTGTTATCTGTTGTGTATCTGTGATAGCATGTGTGTTAGAATACATTTTTAGATAAAGGGCTAAAACAAAAAGCAAAGTAAAACAAAATTAACCTCCACAACATTGACTTAGTGATGTGGTAAGAAGTGGATACTTTTATATTTATAGTGATATTCACTTGCTCATTTCCATTTATAATATTGAGAGGAATACTGTTAATACAAGTCCTGG